TTGGTGGAACTGGGAAAACATTCTTGTGGAGATTGTTGTCTGCTGCTATTAGATACAGAGGAGAAATCTGTTTGAACGTTGCATCCAGTGGGATTGCTTCTTTGCTACTACCAGGGGGAAGGACAGCACATTCTAAATTTGGGATACCACTTAATCCAGATGAGTTTTCTACTTGCACACTAACTCACGGAACAGACCAAGTGAATTTGATTAAAGCAGCTTCTCTGATTATTTGGGACGAAACCCCGATGATGAGCAAGCATTGTTTTGAATCGTTAGATAGGAGTATGGCTGACATTGTTAGGAACAATGACAATTTACCTTTTGGCTGTAAAGTTGTTGTCTTAGGGGGAGATTTTAGACAGGTTTTACCTGTAATTCATGGAGCTGGAAGAGCTGAAATTGTTTTGGCATCTTTAAATTCTTCTTATCTTTGGAAGCAAGTCAAAGTGTTGAAGCTGACAAAAAATATGAGGTTGATGTCTAACGATTTATCTCCTGAAGAAGCTAGAGATTTGGAAGAGTTTTCAAAGTGGATATTAGATATTGGAGATGGAAATATAGGCGACAACAATGATGGCGAGGCTCTAATTGATATTCCTGAAGAGTTTCTTATTCTTGATGCAGAAGATCCTATTGAGTCTATAAGCCAAGCTGTGTATGGTGATGTTGTTTCTTTACAGCATAATAAAGAGCCTAAGTTTTTTCGAGAGAGCAATACTATGTCCAACTAACCAGGATGTCGAGAAGATCAATCAACACATGTTGGATAAACTCGATGGTCAGTTATTGTTTTGTGTTATCAATATTATTTCGCAAATTGTACATTCATATACCAAGTTAACATAATATTTTTTTATAAATATTTCAGGTGAGGAAATGACCTTCTTAAGTTCTGATACGATAGATGCTTCAGATAAATATTCAGTTAACGATCAAGCTCTTACTCCAAATTTCTTAAATACCATCAAACTCTCAGGTTTGCCAAACCATAGTCTTCGCTTAAAGATTGGTTGTCCTATTATGTTGCTCAGAAACATAGATCCCACAGGCGGATTAATGAATGGGACACGACTTCAGGTTACAGAGATGTACCCTAACATTATAAAGGCAAAAGTTATTACAGGAGATAAGGATAAGGTTGGTCGAGTAGTTCTTATTCCTAGGCTTGCTATTACCTCTTCTGACAAGAAGTTACCTTTCAAGATGAGGAGGAGGCAACTTCCTATTTCTGTTGCTTTTGCTATTACAATCAATAAGAGTCCGGGACAATCTCTATCAGAAGTGAGCATCTACCTACCAAGGCTTGTTTTTTCTCATGGTCAATTATATGTGTCTATTTCAAGAGTTACGTCCAAAAAGGGGTTGAAGATTTTAATTGTGGACGATGAAGGAAAGCTTAAGAGACAAACACTGAATGTCGTTTACAAAGAGATCTTCCAGAATCTCTGATTTTTTCTGTTGGCAGTTCTATACAGTTTTATATTTTATATACTTTAAAATGCCTTTCCAATTCTTGAATGAATTTGATCTTTAAAATTTAGTTTTACTTTAGTTTTCAATAGTCTATATTATATTATGAACCTAATATTATACCATGCAGTCAAATCTATACAATTTAACTAACAAATCATTAAACTTTATATCTAAAATAATCTCATAATAAACAGGATCATGTATTTCGAAACATCAAATGCTTTTTATCTAATACATTACAAAAATAAACGAACAGATTTATGACCCAATTATATTGGGCTTCTAAATTATAAATATCTAATGGGCTATTAGTCAGATTAAGCCTTGAAACGAACTGATGTTTAGGTTTACTTCTTATCTATATAAGACTCTTCGCTTGACTACAATAACCATAATATCTCTTCGTTTGTCTCTCTCTCATCGCAAAAAGGTACGATTTTCTTTCAATGTTCTTTCTATTCTTTTGTGCGTTATTTTAGTAGATGTTGTTCTGATGTTAAATCTGTTCTATCTTAGACTGTTTTGAAACATCCTTACATAAACCGTGATAAAGTTTATTCAATATTTTCATTTTAGTGTTATAGTACAAAATCCATTGTCTGCAGATTTTATAAATCTGCAAAAATACATGGGATCTAACTATAGAGAGTATTGGATGGGTGTTTATATATTTTACATGCATTTTTCTTAAGGTTTACTATAGTGTGTTGTATGTTTCCTAAAATATATACTTTTTTGTCTTTGAGTATTTTCATCGTAAACCGGATAAGACATTCTTTCTGTTGTTAGATCTGTTATGCCTTCAATTGTAAACCGTATCTAGGTTACAAATCTTTTTTTATTGAATATTGGCATTCTAGGGTTATAATAAGTGTTTCATATATGTTTTTCGTTTTATGAATATTTTATTAACAGTGAGATGAAATATATTTATCATATATTGGCAGTGTAGGGTTAGATAAACTTATATTCTCTAAATTTTGTTTTTTTCATATATTCTCTAAATTTTGATTTTTTTCTTGAACATTGAGAAGTATCTCAATGGCAGGTAACATAGATCTCAAAATGAAAGGTCCACTCATGGAGGAAGAATCACAAATTGCGAAGGATGCTTACCTGAGGGGTAAGTTAGACACCATGAAGAGGTATATGGCTATGTTGATTATGTGTCGGGACCAGACAAGAGCCATTGAAGAAAGGCACTTGGTTGAACTCAATAAGGTTCGTCTAGAGGCCAAACTTGATTTCCTCCATGAATGTGAGTCTCTTTTTTCCATGTACCAAGAGAAGAAGAAGACCGAGTTCGAACTTGCCCTTGCCGAATCCAAACTTGAAGATGTTCGTGTTCCGCCTATAGATTGGTTCAAGCTGGGTGAACCAATGATGTATGACTGAGCATGTAATGGGAACCCTATCTCAAACTTAAATATTTAAGTTTATTTTAAAACTTTTTTTTTGTTTAAGTTGAACTTCATAGATCGGTTGTTTCATGTATTTTAATTAAAGACTTTATTAGTAATGTTTATTATTGCTTGATTTACTCTTCTTACTTTATTTATTGCTTGATTTATTCATATTTATGGCGTTTTAGTTTTATTTTTCTTCACAGAAAATGTTTTTAGAACCATGTTAATGATTAGATACGCAGTATTAAGGCTCTCACTATTAAACAACTACTAGATTTTTAAACTGGTAACTTTTTCTTATTCTGTTATCTTAATTTTATAATATATTTTTGTTATTATTTTGTTTTCACAGTTCTGAAATGTGCTTTTGATATGATTGAAAAATATCTCAACTTCCAAAACACGCTTCTTTTATTGTTTATACTTCAATGATGTTCTTTCCAAGAAGTAATGATTTGACATTTTAGTAAAAACTATATTTTCAAGCCAAAAGATTTTCAAACTATAATGGCAAATACATTTAATTTCGACAAAAATATAGGTTATTAAATGAAGTGTTGGAACTACCCAAAGCTCGGTTTTATTCTTTCTATAAAGTGGAAACTCTACCGTCTCATATCAAAATCTATTTTTCTCCATATTTTTCTCAACAAACCAGAAGAAAACAAATTTGTAAGTTATCTTTTTATTTGTAATCTATAGTGAAATTACCTTTGAAATCTCTATCACCTCCTATCAACATCTTAGTATATTGCAATCTCTCTTAGTTTTTCTTCTGTTTCATATGGAATCAAACTTTGTTACCTACTTTTTAGATCTTCATTGTTGAACGAAACATGTTGAGAGATTAGATCATGCATTAACTGATCACTGAGAGTTGATAAGATCCCCGCTTAAGTATTTTAAGATTTCTTTCATGACAAATGGTTATCTTTCATATATATATTCTCTTTTAATATCTTCATTGAGAGTTAAATGTTTTGATGGTGTTATATATCATTTTTTTGTCTAAGTTCTTATTTCCATTAATATGAACATGCAGATCTCTATTTAAGTATGTCTTCGCACCAGTTTCATGGATCAATGTTGCAAGAGGCTTACACGTCTGGAATGAATGATAGGACTAATCATTACCGAAGGATTCTTAACATGTACATGAGGTTTCATGAAGCCGTTGTTGCGAAGCATGATGCTGAGGTGGAAGTTTATCGCATTTCCGGTAAACTTGAACTCTTTGATGAGATCTTCAACGCTGGCGTTATGAACCATGTCAAGGACAAGCTGGAACAGGAACAAGAACTTGCTCTTGCTCATGCCCGTCTTGCTGATGTGAAGGTTCCTAATCTCGATTGGGAAAAGCTAGGAGAGCCACAAATGTGGCGTTAACTCTATCCTCATCTCTTATGTTTAAGATATGTCTATGAACTTTTTAACTGCTGTCTGGTTTACAAAATCTGTGTTTTTTTTTATATTTTGAACTGGAATGCTGATCCTAATTTTTTTTATGTTACAAGTCTATCTTTCTTAATGTCTTTCGGATTAATGTTTTTCGTATTCTCAGTTCAATTACAAAGTGACCCGGCTGTGTGTAATCCAATTAAAAGACTCAACTAAAAGGTTAAATATACATCAGATTCAAACATAAAACTCTCATATAATATTAATCTAATCATTTCATAAATGTTCTTACAACCAAAACAAAACCCGCGCTTCTCAAACGCGGATCAAAATCTAGTATTTCATTAAAAACTAAGAAGAAGAAATGAGCCCAAATCGATGGTCTAAATCATGATGTCTATCACAATCGCCTTAGGTTCTATAGAATGCTTTGATCATATGTGAACGTACACATGAGGACCAACGTACGACGAGAAACCAAAAGTAATAACGTACTGTTTATGTTTCTTCTTTATTGGACGTTATGGTGGAAACAGGAAACATCACAAGCCTACAATTGCATAATATTCTCTGGTCAAATTTTCAATCAAATTACCGCGTAATGTGACAATACCTTAATATCAGCTGACAAACGTATAAATGAAAACGTGTGTATAAAGAGGACTTGTATTAACATCTTAGCATTATATCCCATCTATTCAAAACGTCCACAATTAAATCATGGCGGAGCAACCTCTCAACGGTGCCTTCTACGGCCCCTCAGTCCCCCCTCCGGCTCCCAAAGGCTACTCTCGTCCACGTCGGCACAGCCGCGGTTGTTGCTGCTGCCTCCTCAGCTTCTTTGTAAAAGTCATCATAGCCCTTATTGTCATCCTTGGCATAGCCGCTCTTATCTTCTGGCTCATCGTCCGTCCTCGGTCCATCAACTTTCATGTGACCGAAGCGTCCCTTACCCGCTTCGAACACACCTCCCAGGACAACATTTTAAGGTATAACCTATCCCTCACAGTCCCTGTTCGCAACCCTAACAAGAGGATTGGAGTGTACTACGACAGGATTGAAGCTCATGCCTACTACGATGGAAAGCGGTTTAGTTCCACCACGTTAACTTCGTTTTATCAAGGACACAAAAACACTACCGTTCTCAGACCAATGTTCCAAGGCCAAAACCTTGTTATCTTTAACGCCGAAGAGTCACGTACTTACAACGAGGAGACGATCGCTGGAGTTTACGATATAGAGATCAAGTTGAGGCTTAGGGTTAGGTTTAAGCTTGGGGACTTAAAGACTCGGAGGACTAAGCCTAAGGTTAACTGCGATGATCTAAGGCTTCCATTAAGTACCTTAAACGGAACTGCAACTCCATTTACCATTCTCCCTATCAAGTGCGACTTTGATTTTTAAGTCTTTGCTTTCATCATATATATTTGTTCTTTTATTATTGTTATTTTTCCTATCCAACATTACGACTATATTGTAGAGTCTATATTGTATACATTTGTTCATCTTCTCTTGTTCATTGTTTTATATTGAATAAAACGTCATTTGTAGTTAATACTTGATCAAATATAATGTCGATTACTAATTATGTCTATGACTCCCGGTTATATAATAGATTAAGTGATAGGTTTGTGGGTTTAAGACATGATTACGTGATAATTTATGTTCCTTTTTGAAAAGTATAATAGGACATTTTTTAATTATCTAACATTAATAGATTAAAATTTTCTAAAGATTTATTAATAATGCTTCCTGTATTCAGTCGTTTGTAAAAAACGAAGACAGGGGCGTAAGTGTCAGTCCAATTATTGCATTAAAACGTTATTGAGCCATCAGTAAAAGTGTTATCTCTAGGACGTAGTAATTGGCATGAAAAGCTTATCCTATTACACTTCTAGTCTTCTACTGTGATAAATATGTCTCTTTCTCTCTTTTATATGAAGCATGCCACTGCATAAAAGAAGAGAAAAGACAGCACCACCATTTACCTTCCCTAAGAATCTCCAACAAATTTTACTTTGATTAGAGAATCATGTATATTATTATGTCCTAAAATGTTTTTGAAATGGTACGGTAGATGTAATTACCAACTTCTAATGAAATAAAGGAATGTACAAGAGATCTTTTCATTCTCCAGTCATATTTCCAGCTTTTAGTAGGTTTTAAATTGTACGTCTTCATCCGAAGGCCCTCGCCAATCAACAAATTTTAGAGAAAAAGAAGAAAACGAAAAAAATAACAGGGTTCAAGCACATGAGTACATCCATATTTAGTTGATCAAAAATTCTGCCACTGTTGTTTCAATTGTGTTTCACGTTCTGTTTCCAGATCCCTTATTGTCTCTATATATTATCTCCTGTTTATCAGGTTCTCTCAACCATTGTTCTTTGTGGAGATCAGAGAGAATTAAAAATTTATTAAAAAGAAAAACAGGAGATGACAGACAATTACTGAGGAAAAGCAAGATGTGAAATCTAAGTTATTCTCCAGCAGAAAATATCCAAAGAAAGTGCTGAATTTCCATTTTACACAGTGTTACTCCAAGCTCAGGAGAAATAGTATCCACTGTTATATTTTTAAGGAGAAAATCGCAAAAAAAAAAAAAAAAAAAAAAATCTTGAAATTGGTAAAAATTTGCACTTTATATCTTGAAGACTAACTAACACTTTCAATAATGAAACGCATTTCAATAGCATATTAAACAATGAAATTAATTTACTTGTTACACACGACAAAATTGTGACTGATTACTGTTCATTAGCAGATAAAAATCGGTGACGTGACAGTTTACTTTTTTAAAAATATATATATATATTTATTCTTATTTTTATTATATTTTTAATTTATTATTTTTAATTATCATTTTTGAATTTAGAAATTTGATTTTATTTTTCATGATTATGAATTTATATTTATTTTAGAATTTATGTTGAATATTTATCTAATTTTATTGTTTTTATTAATTATAATAGTTAGAAAAAATTGAAGTAAACTACTACGTCACTGATTTTTACCTGTTAATGAAGAGTAACTGATCACAATTTTGACATATGTAACAAATAACTTATGTTATTGAAACAAGTATCATTGTTTAAATTATTAGCAGTTGAGCTCCAAAGTTTAAAATACAAATTTTACCAATTACATGATTTTTTATGGGATTTTACCTATTGATAAGTGCACATATTCATGCTTCGTTACCGAGGAATGTACGACCAAAGAGGACAGTTAAAAGAATAAAGAGTAAATTAGATTTTGACTCGCGTTTGAGAAGCGTGGGCTTTATTTTGGTTGTAACAAAATGTATCAAATGATTCTATTTTTATTATATGATAGTTTTATATGTGAAATTTGATGTATATTAAACGTTTTAGTAGGATATTTTCATTGAGTTTTGCATAACCGAGTCAGTTTGTGGTTGAACAGAAAATCAAAAAAATAAGTATTGTGAGAGTATGAAAAATTAATACACATATTACATTTTGACCCGCGCTTGGATTAAATAGTTTATTAAAAAAATTACATTAATGATTTTTGAACAATAAAAGTAATATTCAATTTTGACCCGCGCTTCTTATATAGTTTATTTATGTTAGTTAAAATAATTACATCTATAATTTTTTAACAATAAAAATAATATTCAATTTTGACCCGCGCATCTTATATAGTTTATTTATGTTAGTTAAAATAATTAGATCTATGATTTTTGAACAATAAAAATAATATTCAATTTTGACCCGCGCTTAAGAAGGGCAAGTATTTTTTTTTACCATAAAATAAAATATTAAATTAATTTATGAGAGTCAAAGGTAACTCAAAATATTTATTTTATGAGAGTCAAAGATAACTCCAAGTATATAAGGAAGAATTTAAATATTGCAAGATTCTGGAGTAACAAATGAGATTTGTTACTTCAAGTATCTCATTTTCTGTTTTAATATGCAGCAAATATAGTATAAATCGATTTTCATTTATTATATCTAATATATTGATCTGTTTTATACAACACTATGTATTTTTCATATAAATAAATCAGTCAATAAATCGTCAAGAAAAAAAACAAATGTTATTCAAAATGAAAATTATTGGGTGAAAACAAAACGCGATTTTGATTCAACCAGGATTAACGCTCGAGAATCATCATAACGCGATTGTCAAAACATAACTAAAAACATTATTTCTAAACAAACATAATCCTAAAACGGATCGATGGAGATTCATCATTACCTCTGCGATTTTGATTTAGCCAGGGTTAACGCTCGAGAATCATCATTACCTCTGTGGTTATAAATAAGTTTTATAATTTAGTCTATAATATTATAAAGTGAAAACATTTTTGTTGAAGAAGATAAATACCGTTGTTTAAATTCATATGTCTCTGGTATTTCAAGATTAACAGTCTCGAGGAATGTATGTCTTGTTACACGAGGCATGGATCTTACTTCCCTGTATAAACATAAAACATTATCATTTAGGTTAAAATTTAACGAAATGAAGATATCTAAATCAAAAATCTATACAAAACGATAAATTTACATTTGCATCACAAAAGATTAGTTCCATGGACTCCCTTAATCTTTCATGAAATGTCTTCACATATGAAGGATTTTGAATTGGATGCGACAACAGTCTTCCTCGGTTTTATATCGCTCAAGAAAGACAACTGCAAATTATTCGCCATTTTTGTTTTAGGTTTTCGAAGAGATGATAAATATAATGGTTAAGAGAGGCTATATTTATAATATGTAGGGATGATATACAATTAGGTTACGCGAATGTAGGGGAGAATATTTCATACGATTTTTAAAAATATCTCTTTTGAGGAATAAGGAATATTTCTTGAAGATTTTGAATTAGTTAGGAAGTTTAAAGTTTAACAGTTAATGGTAATCCAACTATGGTAAGTTACCGAAATTTATGGAATCTACGATATTGATTGTGGTTAATCTATAACTTGTAGGTAAAACAATTTCTTTATTTTATTAGAAAGATAGTTATTGAAAATCGTATTTGCAATATTTTCTTAACAAAACGTATCTCGTCCATTAAATGTCAACATGAGAGTGATGATATATCTTTTTGGTTAATATCACTATATGTCGTCTAACTATGGTATATAAATACATGTAAATTTAGTGAGATATGAAAACATATTTCATATATGAAGAAAAACATGAAATGAAGGTTTATAACACAATATAAATGAAATGAAAGTTTATAAAGTTCATGTGTGATGCATATACAAAATAATGTCAACCAAAAAAGTGTAATGTTGGAAATCTATAGATTGAAATCGTGTAATATAAGGTCTATAACACAATATAAATGAAATGAACGTTTATATAGTCCATGTATGATGCATATACCAAAAAATGTCAACCAAAAAAGTATAGTGTTGGAAATATATAGATTGAAATCATGTAATATAAGGTGTATAACACAATATAATTGTATGAAATATAGTATGGTATATAAATACGGGTAAATTTAGTGAGACATGAAAACATGTTTCATATATGAAGATAAATCATGAAATGAAGATATATAACACAATATAAATGAAATGAAGGTTTATAAAGTCCATGTATGATGCATATACCAAAAAATGTCAACCAAAAAAGTATAATGTTGGAAATATATAGATTAAAATCGTGTATATAAGGTGTATAACACAATATAAATGTATGAAATATAGTTTGGAATATGGTTATAAAGTATATATATGATTTATATACCAAAAAAAGTCAACCATAAAAGTATAATGCCGAAAATCTATAGATTAAAATCATGTAATATAAGGTGTATAATATAATATAAATGTATGAAATATATTATGAAATGTGGTTATAAAGTCCATATATGATGCACATATACCAAATCGTGTAATATAATGTTGGAAATCAATAAATGTATGAAATGTAGTATGAAATATGGTTACAGTAATTAATGGGAAGAGAGAAAAATAATTAATGGGAAAACAAAAAATAATTAATGGTTACAGTAATTAATAGAAAGAGAGAGAATAATTCGGGTATATGCAAAATGTGATATGATTTGTAACAAATTGATATATATATAGATGTAAGACGAAATAAATTACCAAAATGCCATTAATGAAGGGTGCACACAACTTACATCAGTCGATTTTCAAGGATGCCTTCATTTTCAATAGTATAGATTACCAACTGTAGTTTATGGGCTTACACCAAAAAGCCTTACAAAAAGAGAGACAAAAAACATGAAGACAAAAGCGTTTTGAACATTTTTTTTTTTGTCAAACTTTGAATTTTATAAATATATGAGAGGTGTTTGTAACTTGTTACAAAAGAGTTAGATCAGCTTGGATACTCCCTAGACAAAAAAATATAAAAACAAGGATAGTATAGATTTAAGGTACGAAACAG